AAGAAATAAAAAAATAGAAAGAAGGAATAAAAAATATAAAAACATAAACATATATTCATAAAAAATAAAAAATTTCAATAATACTAATTAAGAAGTTCCCAAACACTCACATGTTGATATTTGAACAGGCGGCTGAGCGTCTCACAGGCTTTCTCAATGCAATCACGATGCTGTTCCATGCATTTCTTCAGCGGATGTATGCATTCGGTTTGCGAAACGGCGCTAACACAGAACTGCAAGTAAAAAGAGTTGTTTGAATGACATAAGTTTCAATTATTAATTTACAGAATATGTAGTTTATTTAAAAAAAAAAATATGGTAAATACTCACCTCCGATAGTGAGAGCTGGTGCAATACTGATAGTGTGCTCTTCGGTTGCACGGACAGCAAATTGAAAAGCTTCGGTATGTGCCCCAAAACGGGTATATCGTCGGCGAGATTCGGTTGCGAACGCAATAACTCCACTAAAGCTGTCGTTGAAAGCTCCAAAACGTCTTTCTGTTGTTAGAGGAAAATAAATATAATACATATTTTTTATATAAGCCAGAGGCTTTAAAGAAAATAAAAATTGCAAAAAAATCGATTTATAAAAAAAATATAATTTGGGAAACGGCAGTGCCATTACTACTGATTTGTRTAAGATCTGCCAAGTATTTTATGGTTTTCGGAAATGTACCAGAAACTATGATTAATTGCGCCCATTTCTTACGATTCACAATCTTAGAGCTACTCCCAACCTCATAAAACTTGTGATGGTCGGTAGATCGTAGGAAGTTTGGTTCAAATTTTCGACAGATTTAAGTCTCTGCTATATCTTCATAACCCTAAGAGATCTTACTAATGTGATTTCCTCTTCTTTATTGCCGTAGACAACCGAGTTTACAACAGCGCACCTGYGATTTCAGCGCTTATGAATTAAAAATAAAAACTTCAATTGCACCCAATACAAAAGATTCCTTACAAGARCTTGATGTTGATGGTTCAGTCTGTAAGGCATGTATCCATGCTAAATTTTTTAAAGATATCTCGAGAGGCAGACAGATGGTCGTTCCCACTACTGTCAAGTAACTGAAACGGACCCGGATTTTTATTCCGTCCAGGGCTGTCAACTTGGCACCATTCCTCAAAAGAACTCCAATAATGTTGTCTGCCCCTACAACAACAACTCCGCTCGTGGCTAAATTGACTCAGCTCATCTTGCTGATCATTTATACAGGGTTCCGGACTTTTCCTCTCCTGTATAATAGATTATAAGACCCTTACAAATCAAAAAAAGTGCTTTAAGCATATTACAAAATTTATTGAGACGGAATATCTGAGTTTCGGTTGTGCCGTTTGGTCTTGCAAAGGCTGGGGATGCTGCAATGGAGAAGAAAGTGTTTGAATGTTTCCCCTCTTTCATACAAATTTGATAATCAGCGTCCGAGAAAATTTTTAGTATTACGGCATGAATGCCTATTGGGCAGAATCCCTACAAATACGTCATGTTGAACTTTGCTACCTTTTTCAGCATATAAAACTATAGTTAAGCTATGCCTAAAAACATCTCTCTAGGCGTCAGATGACGTACAATAAGTAGTTTGGTTCATGAATTCAGTTCAAAAGTGAATTTAACCTATAAATATATAAAAAGTTTACCTCTGTAGAGCTTTTACTGATTTGCTCCACAACGAAATCCAGTAAATCTGCCAAAAATTGTTTAGGCTTACGCAAAGTCCACGCCGGATTACTGACGAATAAACGCAAATAAACACCAGCAACAACAATTTCATTCGAAACGATATCTTTGAGCACTTCAGGATCCTTCCACAGGTGTTTGTCGGCGATTTTTTGCGCTCTATAGAAGCTGTTAAGGTAAACATATAAATAAAATAAAACAAAAAAATTCAATGATAAAAGTCACTTATGCGTACCTCTCACACGTATCTGTCACAGCATCACAAACTGTCGCTCTCGTCTTATCATTCCATATCAATTCCGGATGCTCGTGTATTGATTCGAATAATTGCACTGAAGTTTGCGGTGATTCAACCATTGCGTCCACGAAGAGCGGCGGCAGGAATTTCGATACGGTAATGCGCACCTGAAATGGCGTTAACGCTTTACTGAATGGAGTTTTAACTTAATGTGAATGCTACATACCTTCGGCCCACTTAACCGATCTGCCGTCATTTTGGCCAATATTTCGGCGCACATCTCACGTATCAGCGGATTGCGTGAATTACAAAACATATCGAGCAGGTAAATGACGGCACCCTTGTTTTGCGCCTCCTTTATCATTTCCTGTACATTCATGAGCCCAGACAGGGTTTCGAGCACTTTCACTTGGCTGCTACGCAAATCGGGATCTTTGAGCGCAACCAAAAACTGGCCGAGCAACTCGCAGGCAGCAATTTCCGA